AGAGGATCAATTTTACTGTTTCTGTTTGACTAAATTTTGTAGCAGTTGTATGTTAAGTCTTCACTCTTCATTTCCATGTGATGTTATTAGGTCTCAATTTGGTTTTGACTGGTGTAAAATGTGCATTTAAATAAGTTTTCATTCACATGCCAGATGTATGATTAAGTGTTTCAAGGCTTCTTATAGTTTGCTTTTCCCAAAATTCTTTAATAGCTCATATATGTAAGGCAGTTTCTTAGCAGTGGTTTACAGTAGAAAGATGTTAGTTGTGGAATTTAGATGTAACATTTTGGTGGTACAGCCCCTTAGAGTTCATTTTGTCAGTCTGCTTTTGTCATGATGCAGGACTTTCATGAGATGATTTGAGAAGTTGCTGAAGATTGCTGAATGTAATGTGCATTAGCTGTGGTATTGGACTATGACTTAGGTTGCTAAATTACCTTTTTTCTTTTTTCTTTCAGTTTTGTTTTGCACAAATGAAAATACAATGTTCACCAGCATTTCTGATTTTGGCTTAGTTCTATCCATTTTGTAATAACCATTTTGTAACAAAGCTTTCATTGCTCTTGACAGTCTTTAGCATTTGCCTATATTGAAAACTGTGATGTAGTTCAAACAGTTATTAATTTATCTTTGTAGCACTTCAAAGCTGCCAAATGATCTGCTTGATTTGCAGCCAACTTTTCATCCGTCTGTACATCCTATATCTGCTGCTCCACAAGTAGGAAGTACCTGGGGAGGTAAGAGTTCTCAGCTGGATTAAGGTTCAAATTGTATGGCCATGTTCCTGTAAATGTTTCCCCTAGTCTGGAGGCTGTTTCTTCCTTGAAAAGAGAGATCTTACAAAGACAAGCTACAAGTGTATGAAGGGAGCAGAAAAAGTAAAATCTGGGTATGGTTTTAAATAACATAGCAGCATGTAGTGATTCCAAGTAACTTTGATATGAGAGTTTTTATTAGTGAAGTTATTTTAATTGATGACCAGCTCTGTCAGGTTTATAACTGCCATCATCCAAGAGTCATGTAGCAAGCTACAGAAACTCAGCCGTGAAAAGTCAGTTCTGTGAAGGTGTCTGCCAGGCAGCCTGTGCTGCACACACGGGAACTTGAATGCAGAATTTTTTTAATGCATGTCCTCAATTTTGTCTAATGTTAGATCAAATTTGCAGGTGGTGATAGAGCAGAACTTGGATGAGGCCTGAAGGGAGGCAGTTGTGATGACAATGCATAGAAAGAAAAGCCAGAGTTAGTTACTGAAATAATAACAAGGATCCTCATTACAAATTCTCTGCTGTATTTCATTTAACTGCAAAGGCAAATTAGCAGAAGGCTGTAGTTGGATCTTTTAAGTGAGGAGACAAAACTTAGTCTTCCTTCTGAAATGTGCTTCAGAACACCCAAATATCATTCTGCCCAGTTGCTAAGATGGACTAAATGGGATGCAAAGTGATCTTACCGGTACAGACAAGTCCTCAAACCCAAGAGCCAAGCAAGAGTGTTCTAGAAAGTCATGAATGTTACTTCAAGATTAGTTTGAGTGCTGGAGCGTGTTGATAGTTTACTCAAAGCTGTTTATCTTGACTGCTCTGCAGTGTTCCAGAATCCTTCGTATGTAGTATGATACTGCCTGCTTTTACTGCTTGTTGTACTAGTGGAGGATTAAAAATCTCTAGTAGATGGTTGGTTCAGGTTTTTTACTTCTCTGCATAAATGACAGTTAATAAAATATTAAGTTCCTGAACTATGCAGCTGTTTCTAGGTTATTTTTTTCTAAATGAGATGCTTGCAAAAATGCTTTCTTTTATGATGCGAAGAATTGGGAATTGCTGCTTCAGAAGGTTTTGTAGGCATTGGAAACAATCCTGTTCTAAATTTTTACTTCCATATTTCTTTTTATGAGCTATAGCTATTCTTAACATCTTTCCAGTTATCTAATTCATCTTCATAATGTATGTTCTACTCTCCTGTTTACTTCTTGCTGTGTACTTTGTGTTTTGTGTACCTTTTCACCTTTGTTTGCAGGGAAATAAGAGTTTTGAGTGACAGAGGCAATACTGATATGTGGTAGCTTCTGAAATAAATATGAGTAGTTTTCTTGTCCTTTTAGTTTTGCTGAGCAGAGCAGCATTTGAGAAGGAGGTTAGCGAGTAGTGTATGGAGTTAGGCATACAAACTTCAGCACTGAAGAGGCTTGGAGTTTACAAAGATGTTTTGGCTCATCTCAGTTGCTTTCTGCAAAATATCTTCTGTTTCAGCATGTCCTACTTGTTTCATGGGTGAGTGATAAGGGAAATTATCTTCCTCTCAAAGGTCACATCACAATTTAGCGTTTCTTTATTAACCTGAAAATTGAGCCTGACAGTCTGTTTGTTCAATGTTGTGTTACTTGTGGTATGAGTCATCACTAATAGTCATTCATATATCTGCTTACTATTGACACATTCCTAAGTACTTTTAAGGCTTAATTAACTGCAGATTTTGGATTGTCTGCTAAAATTTTAGGCAAAAATTCTGGGATCACCATTTTTTTGTTATCTTTCATCAAAAAACCCAGCTCTTCAGCTTTACAGACCTGAACACTCACTTCACACAGGTGAGGTAGATAAGAAGTGCTTTCCACATTTTACAGATGGGGAAATCTGAGCAATTAACTGACTTGTCTGAAGTCATATGGCAAGTCAGTGGCAGAGCCAAGAATGGAACCTGAACTATTTCCAGTCCTGTGCTCTAACCACTGCACAGCATCCCTCCCTTAGGTAATTTTCTGACATGATGATGTTTGTATTTGGTGTTTATGGTGACTTTCAAGAGAGTATCAAATCAACTGAATCAGTTACTGTTAAAAATTTTATGCAGAAGCTGCTAGGTGTGTAACAGATCAGTAAATCTTTACAGAAGCATTATGTTTGGATTGATGCCTTTAGTCTTATGCTTCCAAAAATGTTAAAGCCGATAAGGTTTAACTCCTGGGGAATGAATTCTGTGATTGTATGTTCTCAGTTTACCTTTTTCAAATATAACAGGTGCCACTGAAAAACCTTTGTGGTTGTCCTCTCAGATAAAATTCTTCTAGCTGGATAACTTAAAGGTAGAAGTTTGCAAAATTCAGGTTACTCTTTTAAATGTACTTGAATCATTACTGCCTAATGATAGCATGCAGGTGATTCCATGGACACAAACATGCCATGTGTGTTCAGGGATGAAATTGGGCTTTGGAAACATTGAGGTGTTGCTGTCAGGAGAGACAGCAATTTTTAAAATATGAATATGAAAGGATAGAAATTACCCAATTAATTTTCGGTTACCTTTGTCACTAGAATTGACAAGTTCTGAGGCTCAGACAAGACTGAACATGCTGGCTAGAATTAGAATGAGGCAGAGGAATGAAGAGTCTGAGAACACATTACATTTCTGAGCAAATCTTGATAATCTAAAGTTGCATTATATTGTCTTACTAATCAAAACACAGGAAACTCCATACAGAACCCTGGGAGTTGGGAACAGAAAGCAGTATGTAGTAATTTTCCTTACGAGTGCCTGTGTGAAAGAATTTCAGTGGACAGTAGATTCAGACAAAATGGTTTGACACTTTTTGCCCTTCTTAACTTCTGCCGTATTGTTTTATCTGCACTGTTTATTGGGATTATTTGGAGTCCATTCCAGCTGTGTCTGGTATATTTGCCAGCTATCAATTTGTACCTAAACTTCAGAAGGAAAACAAATGTATCAGGTCAAAACATTCATTTCCACAGTATCTCTTTGGATTTTTTCCAGTTATAAGGAGAACCAGTAGAATCATCAGAATGTGAAGCAGCAACAGAAAAAGCAAGGAGGAACTGATGAAGGGATTATCTGCCCCATTTTTTTAGATCTGTTTGCTCTACAGCTTTTAGAAAAGCATTCAAAGCAGAGAACAATTTTGAGGAGTACCTGAAAGCCAGGACTCTTTCGGGTGATTAGCTGATTGGCATGTCCACAAGTCCTTTAGGTGGTTACATTACTGTCTAAAACACACAGAAGACAGTATAAGTTTTGTACTGCTATTATATATTACAAATACTGTATTTTCTTATTCTGCTTATCTTTTATTCAGTGTTGGACATGTCATTTTGTTGACTGGATGATTTAGAAAACAGTCTTTTAAGGTACTTTGCTCCTTGCTGTGTAGCCAAGGAATTTGGAAGAGAAGTCAGGTCTTGCTGAATAAGATCTTGACCTTGCAGAAAATCAGTGTGCATTAAGCCTGCAGAAAATAATGCAGTTGTAGTTTCAAAACTTTGTTTTCTTTAGGACTTTCACATGACTGAACATGTTATCAAGCTGTGTGGGATTTATAGCTAAGAATCAGAAGGTCAGATTCAAGAAGAGAAAATAACTTACACTTTTAAGTTGTTGCACACAGCATGGTGGTAGATGTTACACTTTAAAGTTGTTGCACACAGCATGGTGGTAGTATTTACAAGCGTTGTGGATAAATTGGTGACCTAACCAGGTTTAAAAAAAAAAAAAAGAAAACAAAAAAGGCCAGGAACTAGAGTACATAAATAATCTCCTACAATTATTATTCAGACATCTCTCTAGCGGCTTTGCCTAGAAGAGTAAGTTGCAGTTCTAGGCACTGTGATGAAACAAACAGGGTTATGTGCAATCCTTGCTCACCTCACCTAGTGAGTACTTGAGTTTTTCATGAAGGATTCATGATTTTCAAACCACACAGCTGAGCAACAGGTTCTTCTGTCAACAAGTATTGTCGCTGTCTTTCCTATCGTGTTTATCTGTTGCATCCTGAAGTACAAGAGTATTTCAGCTTGGCAATTGCATCCATCATCTGGAAACTCTGAAACTCTCCTATATGCCTTGGGAAGTCACTTGTGTAGAGCCATGTTTCCTTCATTCCAGTAAGGTCTGACAGATTTTTAGTAAGAAATGTTTTCCTCATTACGCCTCCCTGACTATTGTCCCTCAAAGCAGAGCAGACTTTTGTTTGCTTGCATTGTGGGTAATGACATATCCACAACAAGCTTCTTACTCCTGATTGCCCCAGGTAGTAAGGAAAGTGCTTTTGTCCTGTGTGCTGCCTTGATAGGTCTTGAAAATTTCATGATGCTCAGTAACAGAGAAACCCATGAACACAATTTGAAGAAGGAAAAGTACAGCTCTGTTGTTCTTGTTTGGGTTTTGTAAGCTGTCCTGAGGGCGGTATTGCATTGAATGCTCACTTAGCACCTGGGGTTCTGTTGTGCTGGTAGGCAGTCTCTGCTCGGAGACTTTGTTGCAAGTGTCAGGATGTTACTGAGAGAAACAAAAAGGGAGATTAAAAAAGAGAGAAAGCAAACTTTCAGTATAAAACGCACTCAGGAAGAAGTATAGTTTATAAAACCGAGGTGTTATTAAATTTTTAACAAAAAAAAATTGTGTAGCTGATATCTGCAATATTTTCCTTGAGTAGAGAAGAGGTAATTCTGGATAATTTGAAAAGTAAATATTTGGCTAGGTGATCCCAAGCTTAGAGATGTCTGGAGAAAACTATACCTCCTGGACTCTTCTTAACTCTTGCTCTTCTGTCCCTAGGAAGCAGCATGTAACTAAATTCATCTCCCTTTTCTTCTTTCTCTTGCTCTCTGGAATTGGACAGATCCTTTTTCTGCTACTGTTGATAGTGTTGATGATGCCATTCCAAACCTAAATCCTTTCCTAACAAAAACTAATGATGCTGCTCATCTGTCTGTGTCTTCTGATGTATCTACTTTCACCAGTAGGACACCCACACATGAAATGTTTGTTGGTAAAGTACTGTTTTAAGCTAATTTCCTACTTTCTAAAAATTTTAACATTGGTTTCTAAATTGTTTATGGGGCCATTCAGTAATTAAAAGGTGATCATTTGGGGCTGGTTTTGTGCTATGTCAGTTTGATTTAGTAGTTGTGCCATGTTAAAATCCTTGCTTGGCTGCCTAGATGGGATTCTACCAAGTGTAAAGGAAGTTATAGTTAAAGCAGTTGCTTGAGTACAGTTTTATGCAAAGCTTGGGAATTTTAAGGTAAAATATTACGTGTGTCTGAGAATGAAAAGAAACTTTCTTCCTCAGTTGAAATGTTTTTAAACATAGGAGCTTGATCTGAATTTTTTTTTTAGTGACTGTTTTTCCCCACACTTGTGCTGGCACTAACAAAGCTAGCAAAGCTGAAAAAGCCATGCACATTTTGGTGCATGATTTACTTGGACTTTTTACCTGCAAGGCAACAAACTAATGACTTGCCTATTAAAAATTGTTTGCAGTCTACCTCGGAGGTGGTTCAGCATGGCTGTCTCATTAGAAATCCTCCTAATATTTCTGTTGGTGCTGCTGGATAGTAGTTTGATTACTTTTCAGTATGAAGAATTCAGTTAGCTTTCATAGACTAAAAATCAATTAATTACATGTCAGTTCTGTTAAGCAAAGCTGAGGTTTAAAGACAATTGTACACCATAGGCTGTTTTTTGCGCAGGTTGAACCTCACTAGAATTGATAAAAGAAGAATCCAGACTCATTAACAAAAATAAAACAAAGGGATATTTTTAGAGATATTCCTACCACCTATATATTGTCACCTTAGCTAACTAGTTTCCTAGCTAATCTGTCTTTAGCAGAAAGAGAAAGCAAGATCAAGCTGAAGAACTCTTGCTGTGAACTTCTCTCTACAGTTCCCAGGGGAGGATTAGTTGATTGAGGCAGTAGTATACAAATACTTTGTAATAATCTGGCCTGTGCTTCTAATCTGTCTTTTCCATACTTCTAATCAAATTTGTATGGTTCATGTGAATGCCAGATCATTATTTGAAATGGAGCTGGCTTTTTTTCAGTGGGAAGGTTATTTAGTCAGATGAGTTTTTCCTCTGTATAATGTGTCTGAAGACATACAGAAAGTTGCAGCAGTGTGAACAAAGAGCCTGATGGATTTTGGTGGCACTTGCTGGCCTGTGTAGTATTTATCACAAGACAGCCCTGAAGTCACTGGAAATGAATGGCATCGATACATTCCATTCCCTTCCAGTGTCTCATGCTCTAAGCATATACCTAGAACCAAAGTATGGCCTCTGGACAGACTGATATGTGAAATGCAAATGCCATTTTAGCTGTAGCACAGTTAAGGTGCTATGATAATGTGAATGTGGATTTAAAATTAATTCTTTCTGGTTCTTTAGATCATTACAATCCATTTACTCAACTAAATCCCTTTGTGGCAACCAAATATGAATCCACTATTGGGCTGTATCATTATACTTCAGGTATAAGAAAAATGCCTTGAAGCTTTTACACTCATTTCTTCCAAGGGTGTAAAACATGGCATTTGGTTGGAAAAAAAAACCTGAAAATGTACTCATCCTAATATAGCTGTTACTTTGAAACTGTGCTTTCCCCTTCTGTGTTATAGATGATGTAACTTTTGTTTCTTACTGTATGTCTCATGTGTATTGGTTTCATTCCACTGGTTCTATGTTGTTAGAGTATATGTGGATTGTAGATTGACCTGAAATTAAAGTTTTGAATAGCAAATAAAATAGTATATCTTGGTTCTCTTTCTGTAACTCTGCCTCTTCTCCTTTCCTGGCTTTTTCTCTTGTGTGATACACCTTATCAGATTCTTTTTGTGGTCCTCAAGCTTACCCTAACGCTTCTCATTTCCGCAATGAGCCTTCTTCTGTAGCTGGTCTATTTGGAGGTAGGTAATGGTATACAGCCTTACTGCAGCTGCAGAAGTTTGAATGTGTTGTGTGCCTAGAACTAGTAGGTTTGTTGTTGGCTACAGAAGTGTGTTGTAGCAGCTCTATTATTCGTGTGCTTGTGCCAAGAGTATGGTTATGAAAGGTACATAGATTATCAGTTTGTGCTAAACTCAGTCTTATTTAGTCTAAACATGAAATGAGTATCTCCCCATTTCAGGATCTCTTGTAGTTTACATGTTGCTCCATACCACAGAAAAGGCATGCATATTTATGAGTATCTTCTTGTCTTGCTCTGCCTCATTGTTTTTAAGATAAAGGGATTGGGATGTTCGTGCTGCTTATGACCATTTTGTTAATATATTACTCTTAAAAGGTGTACTAAACTAGTACTAAACTTTGCAAAAGAACAGGAGAAGGAGGTGTCTGCTGCCTTGAATTACTGGCTAATCATTTGTGCAACAGCGTAATGTTGGTGTAGTAATCCAGTACAGATGCTGGTTCTGGAGCACTGTCCTGGCAGTTGCTAAACAGGCTGTGGGCTGTGAGAGGTGATCATCTCTCTAAATCAGATGGAACAGGGTGTGTCAACGTTGCTGCAATGCAAGGTTTTGGAATACCTTCAGTAAATGGTTTGTGGAATGGTTAGTCCTTAAAAGCACCATAAAGTCCCATTTTGTTTTAACATCTCTGAATAAAAATGAGTTGGAGTCATTTAACCAAAGGTTAAATATAACAAATGACTGTTCCCTTTGTTCCATATCCAAAGAGCAGAATGACTAGTTTCTGTCAAGTCTTGCTGGTTTATTCTCTCGAAGAAGTTCCATTAAAAGTACTGACCTTTGCACTTTTCGAAACATCCATGTTAAACAAAATGCCCTGGGCTAGTGGGTGATACCAGGAGTAGGATTTGATCTTTTTCAGAGGCTAATTCAAAGGAGTCCTCTGTATTGTTTTGTCTCAGAGCTGGTCTCATCCTGTTAGCTTCATAAAGCTTGAAACTTCCTAAAATGTGGGAGCAGCAAACTCCTCAGCTTGTTTCAGTTAAGGCTGTTTGCTAAAGAAAAAGGTGAGCTATTGTAAGTTAGGTTTTCTATGAGTACAGGCAAGGTTTTAAGAGTTGCAGGACATCCCATTAAAAGGAATTCCGACCCAAAATTCAGAGTCTCTGAAATGGCTTGTTACAACTTGATCATACATGTGTGCTAAAGATACTCATTTTGGTTTGTTGATTATTTGCTCCGTATCTTTCCCCACATTACTGCTTCCCATGTTTTGCTGTTTGCTGTTTACTCTGATTTGTTTTTAATGAAAACTATGCTGTCTAAATTCTTAGTGACGGATGCTTTTGAGTTTTATGTTCCTTTAAGACAAATAGAAAGGAACAGAATCAAAATTTGGGTTTTTTGTCTGTGAAGTTTATGTTCAAGGATGGCATCCTGTAGTTACTAACTTTATAGGTGAAATGTTTTTACTTCAGGAAAACAGCAAGACCGACATGCAGTGCTGTCACAGCAAGCAAATGAAATTCAAGAAATATTCTTTGCCAGTTCTACCCACTCCTGTCTTTTACTGCTGAAGTATTTTATTTCTATGTTACCATATTTTTTGCTAGAAACCAGGAGAGCTAGTTTTCGGGATGGCATTGCATCTTTTTTTGGCATTTTTCATATAAAGTAATAATTGCTTCTGTCATTGCCTGAATATCAAGGTGATGTACATGCACATGCTTGTGCGTGCTCATATGTAACATTAAAAATGTCCTGGAAACAAATCAGTATTCACTTGCATATTACTGAACTGTCAACTTAATGCTGCTGAACATCATACGTAATGCTTCATACTGCAGTAAATTTTCACAATGTTGGAAATACTGTGTATTTGTAGAGCACTACAGATTCATAGGAGACAAATGGAGTGAGTTCAGATAGGAATCGGAGCTGAAACTTGCCTGTAATTCCCCATATCTTGGCATTATGCCTGGAAATTTACATGCAAAGCAAGGTCAACTGCAAAACCAAAAGTCCAAAAATAACTAAATAAGCACTACAGAAGTTATTAACGTTAAGAGTGTCTAATCGACGGCATTTCTAGTCAGGCACCTTGGGATGGTTTGGATCTTACTCCAGTTGTATCTAAGAACTGCTCCACTAATATAAAATACGGAGATAATAATCTTCAGGCAGGTAAGCGTGAAACAGATTCTAGACCTAGCCAGCATCTTTCCCTGGGGAAGTGTGGTGATTAGTTTTATTGTAAATATATGGTAAAAGAATGAGGAAGATGTGAATAGTTAGCCCAGAGATTTAGCAGTTGTGGAGGAGTGTCTCTTGTGTCCTGTCCATCCAGTTTTTGAGACAAAACCTTGCTTTGGAGGAGTAACTTGAAATAAAGACCAAATAAACTGCTCAGTGTCAGGGTATAATCTGGACCTTTGAGGTATTCCTAGTCTCTTTCTTCAGTACTGAAGTAGTCTCATATTTGTTTGGCTTGTCTTGCATAAAGAAGGTGGATTTGTGGAAAATGCTACAGAAAAGCATTCAACTTCTTCCTTTTTTCCCCACAGGGTTCACCCCATCTCCTGTTGCTCAACCACAGCCATCAGCTGGCCTTAATGTTGACTTTGAGTCTGTGTTTGGAAACAAATCTTCTAATGTTGTCCCAGATTCTGGTGGTAAGACACTTGCTAAAATAAGTGATGTATGTCCTATAACTTATTTTATTCTTGAGATATAAATCTTCTAATTTGTATTTACTTATACTGCTGGACAGTGTTTCAGCTGAAGAGAAGAAAGGTGACTTTAAAAGGTCATTAACAGCATTATTCAAATAATTTTGCCTTACACACTATTGCTAAATGCAGCCTGCTGAAATATTTATGCTGATTTCCTTCACTTCAATATTTTGTGCGTTAAAACTTCACACAGTGTTCAGCCTTCATTCTTATGTGCTGTCAGCTGAAATTGTCTGTATTTGTGAAGTGTGGTTGGAAGAGGTAAATGTATATCTTTGTGTCTGTGCAACATGTTTTTTGGCACTTCTTTGCCTACTCTTTAGACATTAAGATTCCTTCAGAAAATGATCGGCTATCAAAACAGTTAATTTGGATTGCAATCAGTCATAGTGATCATTTTGTTCTTTTGAGCATCTGGAAAGTAAACATTTTCTGATATTTTGACATTATACTCTTGACATTGGATTTTTTCTTTTTGTAAACCAGTGATTTGCTAAAAGCAGCTACATATATGGTTTTATATTACTGAAATGCTTTAGATATTTTTTATTTTGTTTTACATTTTAATTGCTTTGCAGTCACTGTAAACCCATTTCATGCAAAATTGATGTCACATAGGTTAAACTACTGAAGTGCAATCTTCTTTCCATAGTACATATCTCTTTTATCAAGAGGCATGATAAGTTTCGTCCTTCTCGTATAGGGTATCATCACTAGTTTATATTTTGTGTTTTAGCCATTGTTCCAACCTTGCTGTCTATTCAGTTGAATGTCGCAACATTTGTGGGAGGCTTTGTGATTCGAATCACTTAATTTGTGTTTCTCTTTCCAAGGCTTTGATGAACTAGGTGGTCTCCTAAAACCAACAGTGGCCTCTCAAAATCAGAGTCTTCCAGTTGCCAAAGTACCGCCTAATAAATTAGTGTCAGATGATCTGGATTCATCTTTAGCCAATCTTGTAGGCAGTAAGTATGAACCCAGTAGCGTGTAAATACTCAGTTCTTTAAATGAATAGAATTTCACTAGTATCTCTTTGTTCTTTGTGACAGATTTGGGCATTGGAAATGGAACTACTAAAAAGTGAGTATGCTTAATCAGAAGTTGAGCATTTTGTTTGTCATGAGAGTACATTTTTACGAATGTTCATGATGAGACTTGTGCGTAGCAACATCATGTTAACCTTCAGAGCACATTTGGGATTGTACTTCTCATACAAGGTGCAATGAATTGTTGGGAGCTGTTGAAGGGTGACTGTAGGCTGTGTGGCAGTGACAATGATAGCAGCAGGCAAGGTGTCCTGTCTCTGAAAAAACTTTCATACTTTATGTATATTGAAGAAACGAGTTCATCAAAATGCTTTGTAGTTGCTGTAGGTAATCTTAGCACATCTTAGACATTTTGGGTGATATGAGTGTGTATTAAAGATTGTGAAACTGCAACCTCCAACTAGAGATTGACCTTTAGACAAGTGAATTTTGAAGCAGGGAATTGGAGTGTTGGAGAGTAGTAAACATCTGCTCTAGTAGCAAAGTTAAGAAATGTGATTAGCAGATTTCAGGCTTATTGGGACCATCTGTGCCAACTCTGAAATCTTTCAGAAATCTAATATGCAGTTGTTCCTAACTAAACTATCTTGACCCAAGGCAAGTCAGATATGCTTAACTTACCTATACTGGGGAACTTGACTGAGATTAAATACAACTGAGGGGACTCATGCTAAACATCTTACCTTACTTTTCCAAGCCAAACTGAGACTTTTTATCAACTCCTTTACTAAATGTGCTTCACTAATAAAAGAAGCTTCATTCCCAAGTGGAAATGGTGTTTGCCTGAATATTTTTAAGGAAGTCCAATGTTTTCTAACAATTCTTAAAAAAATTTATTTGAAGTGATGTAAACTGGACTCAGCCAGGTGAAAAGAAACTAACAGGTGGTTCCAACTGGCAACCCAAGATTGCACCTACAACTGCATGGAACGCTCCAACGTTGGTAAGCAAATACTCATTTAAAATAGTGAGTTCCCTGCAACTTAGGTGTGCAGGGTGATGTATAGTGGATAAAATTGAAAGTAATCTGTAGTTGCAGTAAAAGGATAATAGAAAATTGAGGAAGTGGTCAGTTGGAGATGTGTACGTATTGGATTTGTTTTTCTTGGCTGTGTGATTCTAGTAAATAGTTTGTGATGTGACGTGTGCAGGTTTAGCATAAACTTCAGTGTTTGAACAGCCTCTCTGATGGTGAGACAGTAGCCTTTGTGTTTCACTCAACAGACTTTTCAAGCACATGTAGTGACAGGACAAGGAGGAATGGCTTTAAACTGATAGAAGGCTGGTTTAGATCAGATTTTCTGAAGTAATTCTTTAGTGTGAGGGTGGTGAGGTACTGGCACAGGTTGCCTAGAGAAGCTGTGAATGTTCCATCCCTGGAAGTGTGCAAGGCCAGGCTGGATAGTGGTTTGAGCAACCTAGTGGAAGGTGTCTGTACTCAGGACAGAAGGGTGGGAATGAGATGATCTTTGAAGTCTCTTTCAAGCCAAACCATTCTATGAGTTTATGGCATAAAACTGTGAACTCCAGGGTGTGGCACTTTGCAGTCTAGAAAAGTAGAAATGCGAAATAAGTCCATCAGGTGCACTCATACATCACATATATGTGATACAACCCAGCCTGTTCTGGGGGTGAGAACAGGCCCTGGTGATACTTGCAGGGGCATCTGTGCAGCGATGTGGGCTATAGCTTTTAGTGTACCTAACTACTGCTCTCCTGTCCTGGTGTGTGCAGTTGTTTTTAACCCGTGTCAGTTTTGGTGATCACCTTCATCATGTCTATGGTAGCAGGTAGTATTGGCAAGGATTTTGGGATAGCATGTAGTGCAAGGGCTCTTAATTACATGTTAAGAGCTTACAGGTGTAGTTTTCACCATGCTCACAGAACATTTTTGCATGTGAATCCTACTCAGCCATTCACCAGTGACCTGTTCTCCAGGTCATTGGTGAACCATGGACAGAACAGGTAATGAACCTTCCCCAAGGATTTATTATATTTGACTCAAACTGGCTGGGGCAGGTTGAATCCACAGTGTAATAATGCAGCATTGTGGATTTGGAAAGAGAGAACTTGTCTCCCTGGATCCATTACCTCTTCCTCTACCAGGTGTCCCTTATCAACTCACTACATTTATATAGGGAGAAATGTTTGTAGATCTTACCAGAGGGTGCATAGATATTGAAGAAGCAGTAGCTACTCACCTGCTCTAATGACTGGTGGTTTCAGTTTACCTGCGTGCTTGAATCTGTTTAATAACTCATGTCTTGTATATGCATCTTCTTGTGATAAGTCATTCTGTTTAACAGCTTTTATTATTTAGAGATACTGTTGAGACACTTCTCCTGTGAAACTGTTCTATTAACATAAATACCTTGAAACATAAATGATGTAGGGGAGGGAAAAAAAAGCTTTGTTTTCCTCTGCTGGTCCATTTATTGTGGAGTTGCTGCTGCTTGCTGAATAAATATGCTTTTGAAAATCTTTGGAGAAAAAGGCATATACCAAATAAATGGACTATGCAAACCAATGATAAACCTAATAACGATGACAGTATCACAGGCCTATGTTGTCTCAGTAAATGACTTGAATTACAAGAATGTGTTGGGGTAAACATTTAATGTATTTGTGAACTAAAATGCTATCTGTGTATATTCTGTTGTGTAAGTATTTGCTTCTAATCCAGTGTTATTGCATTATGTAATTGTTCTCCCTGGGAAATACAGAATGGCATGCATTTTCCACAATACGTAAGTGAAACAACCCACAGTCTTTTTGCAATCGACTGGCATGCTGATATTAACCACTGCTGTTGCAGAACCTCATAACCTTCTTGCTATTTACACATTTCTCATTTTACAATCTTTGGTGTGCCGAAAATTAAGCTTTTCCTAGCATACACAAACTTCATAGGTGGTGTGCAGGCTCTTGACTCGAATGATAGCATGGGAAATACCAAGATTATTTTTCCTTGCTTTAAACTGTACCATCTGCTGCCAGAGAGCTGGGATGTGTGTCTGTGCTGCCTTTAATGCACTCAGTGAATTTTGAATGAAGACAAAAATATTTGTGTTTGAATAACTGCATGAAATCTCACGGGCTTCTGTTTTACTTGGCACTTGATCCACATTTACAGTAGATCTTGATTTTTTTCATTTTTTTATAAGTGGGGAGAGACCAATATGTCATTAATGCTCATATGAAAAAAGAAAATCCATGCAGATAGTTTACAAAGGGCAAGCAATAACCTGTGCTTGCTGTCTGAGGAATGCAGGCTTTTATTTCAAATGACTTTTTTCTTGATGTCAACAGTGATATTGGTCTTTCCCTGTATTCTGTTTTTATTGCAGGGTAACTCTGTAACTAAAGGATGGTAGGTCCGTCTTGAGCACTCAAAAGTGAATTTAGTCAGCATGTTTGTGTAGGTGTGTGAACACAAGCAAACAAAAAAAAAGTAGTTTTCAGGATAGCTTTTCCCACTGTGTGAAATATATGGATAGTACAGTCTAGATGATTCTTTATCTGTTCTGATGGCAATTGAAATGCCAGTGGCAGTGGCTCTACTATATAAGAAAAGGCAGCTGATACCTTAGAACTGAACTCAGAAGCAGCTTTCCTGATGTCCTATTCTTGATGATTTAATTTATCTGCTTTAATTAATCCAGTACGATTAATATTTTTATCATTTCCCTCCTTTCTGTATCAATAACGTTTGTGTCCCAAGAAATGCTTATGGTGTTTGTCTTGTCATGAATACAAATCCCCATAGCAATAGCATGAAAATTAGACTGTTTTTTTTCAAAAAGGAGACGCTAACAGGAGTTAGAGTGGGTAGACAACAAAGTATCTGAATATTGATAAACACCAATTTATAGTCGGAAACAAAAAACCTAACAGCTTTTGTCCTTGTAAGAGTTAACACTGATTTAGAAAGTGGATAATCAACTGTAGAACAAACAATGTGGTTAGAGGATGAAGAACTGTCTGTATTTATCTTTCTAAGAGTTATCAGCTGTTTTTCTATGTATATATTGCCAAGCTGTTTACAAAACATAACTTCACCCCAAGTTTTGTCTGTTGGTAGCAATTGTACTGTACCTTCATGAAAGTACAGTAAGTGTATAAGGGTAATAAAAACATATTTGCCAAGTATTAAGAACACATTTAGCTTGTTCAAATTCCCTGTATGAAGCAGGTGAGGGAAAGGGAATGCAAGGTGGATATGCCTGTGAGTCTAATTTATATCGAAGTATGGTAAGAGAATCCCCAAAGCCTGTACATCTTGGCTGAAGAGGATTCCTGCAGTGTCAGCAAAAGTAATGATAATTTGGTTTTTCAGTCTTTAAAATTCTCTTTTAAGTCTCCTTGCCTACCATTGCTTCTGATACTGAAATACAAGCATACAGTTACAGGATTTAAAAAATGCTTCTGCATCATGAATATTTTCTCTCAAACTTCTCTGATTCATGCTGCATTATCCAAACAGGATGCTGAGAGAATGGCAGCTTGCAGTTTAGTTCAGGCAGCCAGAATCCGAACAGGTTAAGAACAAATGCATAGATATTTGCCAAGATGGCCTAGAAACTTTGGCTTAGTTGTTGTATTCCATTGGAAATAATTAGGATACGCTCTTGACACCAGATTGGAAATCCTATTTATTCTTTGCTATGTTGATAATAAGCTAAGTGCTGCAGTTGATCTTTAGAAAGCAATGTATTGCCAGTACACAGCTGAGCTCTTCTCTCAGTTCACCACTGTTTTTCACACCAGGCACCCCCTGTCATGGCATATCCTGCCACAACGCCAACAGGAATGATGGGCTACGTGATGGTGAGTGGAATTCCTACTTCTCAAAGCCCTCAGATGTTGTATAACGTTTGATTGCTTACAGTTTGGGAGCAGTTGTTTTTCTGAACTATTTTACTGAAGACTGAATTTCATCTCCCATTTGCTTGTTCTTCACCAAATCAAGTTCTGTTTTTTTGAACTACTTCAGTGGTGTTTATCTGAAATTAAGTCTTCCCTTTCCTACTTCACTTGGTTTTTTTAATAAACTGCTTAAAATGGAACTAGATGATCTTTAAGGTCCTTTCCAACCCAAACCATTCTGTGATTCTGTGAAAATTAAGACAGTGTCTATTCTTGGTGGAATTGATTGGTGTAGAAATAAGTGTATCATAGAAATAAGCTTAGCGTGAGTATAAACAGCTGCTTTCACAACAGGAATGTTTTATTTGGTGAGGTGAAATCTTCCATAAATATCTTCTGCTGAGATTAGAACAAGTATCTGTAATTATTAATGCTACAGACCTGGGAGTTTGTGACACTGCCATGTGGTGTGGTGTTGGTTGAAAATTGAATCTTAGTGATGCACCAGTACCACAAGGCTTTTGAGACAAACCCAGCCTTGCTGCTTGTTGCTCTGCAAGGTTGTTCAAGTTATTGTTCTTTCCTCAAATTTTAAAATACTTCTGAAATTTTATGCAATTAACCCTTTATTCCAATAAAGAAGGTGCAGCACAGCTTTGCTGGGTGAATAAAGGCAAGAAAACCTCCTTAGAACAGTTATTCTATTAATTTACTCACAGATAAGAGAGAGAAAATAAGCTAAATGTTTCATCATGTAACTAAATTAGATTAATGACTTACAACTTGTATATGCTCAGTAAGTGAATGGCAGAAGTGTCCAGCTGTGGTGTTGAGGGTCTTTTGAGCGAGTATCATGGTCCTCATTAGCCATTCATGAACTCCTGTATTCCTGTTAAAAGTTGTTGTGGTTAAACTGCCACTAGTGTTGATTCAAACTTGAGCTGCACAACTTTGCACTGATGGTACCAGCAGTGTTTTCGTGGTTGTTTTGATTCAGCAGCTGAAGGTAACAAGGGGAAGGCAACATGTAGTATATAGGAAGTAATCTTGCATGTTCTGTCAAACAGCTTTCATCATGGCACTTAAATGCCAATGTGAATCGGAAACTGGAATTAAGGAGACATAGCTCTGTTACTCAGAGTTGCTGCTGCTTGTTTACATGTGTGCAATATCTGAGCAGGTGGGTGAGATAGGCCACTATGGAATGACCATGAGCTCTGTAACACTTCCTGAAAAATGTCCTGGCTCATTCAGACTTTACTCAGGACATTTACCATGAGGAATCTCTGAAATGTTGGTCCATTTACAACCCTCGTGTTTAGCTTTTCCTAAAGGCAGCAGTAGGGACCACAGTCCTGAGGATGACCATTTCTAAGGGGCAGGCTTTTCCCTTGGAGCAGTCATGCTGGGACAGGCAGTTTCATTAGTGCCATGGCACTGTGCCTGGGCATTCCCTGGCTGGTTCCTGTGTCTTTCTTGGGCCAGCAGGTGTTTTTAACTTATGTTTTTGTAGGAGTTTTCATCAGGGTCAGTTTCTTGAACAGGTGCACCCTGTGCTTGCCCAAACAACTGTTTGGCATGATAGGAGAAGTACCATCACCACCAGGATTAGTCAGGGAAGAGCTGCTTGGAATGGGAATTGCTTCAGTAGTACTGCTGTTGGCTGTCAACCCAAGCCTGAGGCGAGTGCCAAAAGCTGTGCCAGAGATGGGCATCTGTGTTAAGTATAACCTGACTTGTAAGGCCATTAATACTTGTTAAACTCATCATTTGGCTCAGCTGGAGTGTCAGTAACACTTTGACATTGATTGCATAATGACTTAACATTAATTGCACATACAGTTTTCAGTTATTCCTGAACTCTGCATTGCTCTCTGTAAGCTGTGCCTATGCTTTCAGAGGCAGTTGGGGAAGTGCTGTCAGACCTCTGTTTTGGGAGCAGGAGGACCAGCACAAATGTGCTTAAATGAGTGTTTTAGTACCTCAGATCTTTGCAGCAAGAGATTGAATGGGCTCAGTTGTTATTGAGAGAATTCCTTGAAAAGGCTCTAAAATGTTCCTTTCTAGTAACCTCTATTTGCAGAATATTGTAGAAAGATCTCACATGATGATTGCATATCTCAAGTGTGACCAAGACTGTTCACCTGTCATATTTCTTACCTTAAATACTTTCAGTGTATTAATGCTGTGTGTGATTTGATCCTGTGTGGATTTTTTCCAGCCGTCACAGATGGGAGGCATTCCAGTAATGACACAGCCGACTTTAATATACAGTCAGCCAGTCATGAGACCACCAAACCCTTTTGGGCCTGTACCGGGAGCACAGGTGTGTACATTCAAATTATTGGTGCTGGGAACGAGTTACACATGGGGCAGTTTCTTTAAAAATATTTCAGTATTTTCTTGTGTTGGGCAAATGTACTGTACAAGCTCAGGGGTTCATGGAAGGTTGAATTCCTAGCTCCTTGTCTCCAGGCTGGCAGCAGCAGGTTTGTGTTACAATGCGAAGAGTAGCATTTTAAGGTATTGTTTTTCGCAATGCAAAGAGAGTAGCATTTTAAGGTATTGTTTTTCTGGGAATGTGACAGCACATTAGTGAAAGAATCAGAAAAGCTGATGTCTGTGCTCTTTGCTGAAGAGGGGCTTTTCCCCCCACAGTCACGTTCTGCGCTGTTTTACCTCAGAGTGTGCATTTGTGAGATTGTACTGTTACAGCTTTTTCCAAGCCTTTGTGTCACTTTTCTTTCCTCTGTTCCTTTATAGTCTAATACTTTGAAGTGTGACCAGGTTGTGAGCTGCACACTTGTGTTGCAGCATTTGCAGGGGCCAAACAGGGTGTGCGTAGCCTTTTAGGTCTATGACTGCATTTGATGGGTTTGAAAAGAATGTGGTCTCTAACTTGGTGAAACATCAACCCAAACTCCTGACTGCTTGTCCTGACCACCTCAGTGGGAGGCACAGGGCATGTTCATCTAGTGTTAACTAACTGCAAGCAGTCTCTGTATCCCTCTGTGGTTTTGCAGAAGACAGTATTTGCAGTATAGTGAAGATGTGCAGTAGCAATACTGATCTACCTGGCCTTTTCCTGCTAAGTGTTGCCTTAACTGAAGTGTTCCTTAAATCAACTGCTTACCTGCTTCTCAGGACATGTTGTGTCTAGATGCATTACCTAATGTGCTGGGATGAGTGTGCCAAAGGGCTGCCCTGATGAACATTGAGAAGAATTAATTTCATCAATACTGGAGTTAAATACTTAGCTATTATTGTTGGTTTTACAGACTTCTGTCACTGGGAAGTTTCTATCTGAACTCACTGTTTTTAACCCAATAGCCATGTAAAGAGAGGGGATTTTTACAGTATGAAAAACATTTTGGAAAAATAGTAGGGGGAAGAGGGGATGGACAACCTTGAACACCTTCATACTATATTCAGAAAATTTTGAGATAAGACTTTTGTGTTTGTGAACTGTAGTTAGAGGCAGAGCCAAGTTTAGCTGCAGATTAGAACTCTAGTGTTAAGTGTGGTTTTACTTACCCATCAAACATTTCTTTTTCCAAGTTCACACTGTATATCATGATTCTATTAGAAAAATGCAATATAATGTGTATGTATTTTGATCTTACTATAAAGAGCTCTGTCTCTGCAGGTGACTGTTTAACAGCATTCAGTTATAACTTTACTTAGGTATAGGTTGGGAGTTTGGGACTAGTGTGTGGCAGGAAGAGAATTCAGCAGTAAGCTGGAAGGAAAGAGAATCTTAAATCTTTTCCAGTGCCTCAATCTGATCTTTTAACAAGAGAGGCTCTGCTGTGTGCTGCCAGCAGGCAGTGTCCCCACTGTCTTCCTTAAAATACAGCCTTGTGAATAGATTTTTTAAGTGTTTTTTAAATGCTTTATCTGAAATGGACACTGCTAGATTTCTTTAGCTAGAAATGCAGTTCTCAGTTGGCTTTGTCTTGGACTTCTGAGAGCTGTTTTGCACATTCACTATCATTTAATTGATTTAGTGTCTTTCACATGGGTTTTATACTATTTTAAGAGGAAAAATAATGTTTATGACAGTTCTTAGAGACCAAGTGAAAGGATCCTCAAGGATAAGAGTGTTTCTACATACAAAAAAATTAATTTTGAAATGATACTTAAAAAAATTGTGCCTACCTGCCTGATTCAGTTATGAACAGGTAGGTGGCTCTGAATAGCCCAGTGAGTCTTTCTGCTTCATTTGACATTGCAGGGCTTGGCCTAGGGTGAATCCCAGCTGGCTGTCATAACAGGAGAAGGAATTAGTCACAAGTGAGGTGTGTGGAGCTATATTTATTCTGCTTACCTGACAACATGTTTGGCTCCTGTGAGAATTAGTTTGATGAAAAACACACCCTTTGAATCAGCATGTGCTGTGTGACCAAGCAGGGTTTTCCCTGAGATACACAGTGTGGTGCTGGCAGGTGTTGAGTTCTCAGAAGTCTGACATCAGTGAAGCAATTGAAATGGAACAAAGGCTGTATGTGAGAGCTTCCCCAGGCATGGCAGAGGTGGCATTTATTAATGTATAGCCACAGAGAGGAGTTACAATGTTATCACACTAAATTTACTGTATGCTTAGTCTTGAGGCTCTTCTGAGAGTGTGTTTGTCAGTTTAAGTTTAGTTAATGCTCCTGTTGTGCCAGAAATAGAAATACAAAAATAAATAAAGAAAAATGTGTGGGTTTGGAGTAAGTAAACAAATTTTAAACAATGAGTAATGGTTGTCTGAAAGGCACACAGTTCAAACTGCCCACACCCTTAGTCAAATAATAGTTTTGTCCATGGTGTCATCACTGCCAGAAATGAAATTGTTTTTCATATTTACTTTTAAAGCACTGGATTGTATCACCTCTAGTCTGCTGATAGATCTTTAGTTGTTGTCTACAGTAAAGAAACCTGAAGGTACTTGAAAGCATGATGATAGATACGAAGCTGTTGCCAAAAATTGTATCACCAAGTTGTAGTGTGTTTGGAACTCCTCCTACCTTGTATACAGACTGGAAAAATAGGCATATCCCAGTGTTGTTCATAACTTGGTACTATTAAGGATTTGTCTTAATAAATATACTTTTCCCATCTCTAGACATACATGTTCTGCTTCTCTTCCAAGTGTTCTCTTTACATGCTTGCAACTTCATTCCTAAATGTTGCTGTCAAAAGCAATAGTAGCTTGGTTTTAAGGGCAGAATAATATGAATTAATTAAGAATGAGACCAGAATAGCCTTTCTGGGGAAATCTAGACGCAGAAGACATTCATAGGTTTAAAAGGTGTGTACCTTTTATCTTTGGAGTCACTTATCTTGCGTTAGGGTCAGTATTTCCTGCTTGAGAAAGAAAGAAAGAGTATTCATCATGATAAAGTAGCAGGATTTGCTCACTGTGAACTGTTGTGTTGTGCTACCCAGGACAGTGAGAATGGTTGGAGATGTTTGATCAATCTTTAGCTGGCAGTGGAGGGAGTGTGTGTATGTGTCTGAGTAAGGGGCAGGCTGAACCAATGGTCTGATGATGGCAGATGTGATGCAGTGCAGCAAACAGAGTGCTTTAGACAAGGCAGATCTGAGTGATGTACAGTGGCTGAAGTGTATCTGCCCCTCACAAGGCCTCAGTGTCACACTGTGCAGCCGCAGTGCGTCTGTGCTCCACCAGAAATGGTATCCTGTTGGCTAATAGAAAGTGGCACAATCATGGCAAATCAGTGCTGTGCCTTTACACATCACATGTTCTGGTGTGGGTGCCCTTGGGAGACAGAGCCTTAGGAGGGGAAGCAGCTGGGTAAAAATTCAAGATTTAAAATAGAACAAAGAAATCGCTCAGCCTACTGCCAGAATCTGTGTGAATTGTAACGCTGCAGTTGTGACCTCACTGAATTGGATAGGGGAAGTAGGAGGAGTGATCACCAAGGTGGTGAAGGCTAAGTACAGCTGCAAATGAGTAAGTTTGTGGATAGTGGTTGGGGGGGATGTTTTGTTTTTGTTTGGGTCTTGTTTGTTTTTTGTCGGGGGTGTTTTTTGTGAGGTAGTGTTTGAAACTATAAGAACAGGGTATGAAGTTCAGGACACACTTGCACCAGAAGGTAGTCTTTCCAGGTGCTTGCTTTGGCACATTAATCCTGGAGTATGTGCTAAAACAGCTTGACAGACTTGTTTCATGAGAAACCAGAATCCAGCTAATGATGGGAATCATCCCAGCACTCACTTATGGATGGGTTCTTTGGTCTTACTGTGACTCTGTGGAGTTTTGTTGCTGTTGGTGGCAATGCGAAGTGGTGACTGATGTTGGAGGTGAGATAAGCTGTCTTCAGTAGCACAGTGTGCTGTGTTTCAGATCTCACAAGCACTGAGTAATGAGGGCATTAAATCTACAGTTCCAGGTGTGTTAGCACTAGAGAAACTGGTGGCCAGTACTGATGTTTTAAGTGCTTCTCCTTAGAAACTGCTAAGGTAGTCCTGGTTTGCAGTTGTGTTTATAAACAGTGATCTGGAGAGGTGCAATGTAGGAAACTAATTATACTTTCCACATCTTTTTTTAGGCCTCCTTTTTAGTAAATAGAGGAATCTTGTTAAAGTATGTAGTTACTGTAAGATGCTCTGTCTTGTCTGAATTTGACCGTGGCATCTAGGAGGTAGCATTGTCAGTTTTTTGACCCAGATTTTAACCTGAACAGGCTTCCTGAAATTTCCCGTTTGTGGTTAACATGCTGATGTTGCACAAATTACTTTAACCCACCAGTCTTCCACACTGCTTTCAAACAGAGACTTTGGACTTGATCTCAGTCGGAGATTTGCCAGCCCAGTTTAACAAGAGTTTTAATATGTGACTTCAAGGCATTTGACCATGAAGAGGAAGAATGTCTCCTGAAATCAGGTGGCAGCAGGCATGCCTCAATGAAGTTAGGACCCTGTTGAGTCTGGCTGAAAACCTGGAGAGTGGTGGGGTGTATTGGGCAATGGCTCTGGGCTGGGAAAAAACAGGTTTAAGAGTGGAGGTTCTGACATCCTGAAACTGCTCCTTAAGCATTTCTCATTCTGTCTCATGACTCTTCCATAATCTGTTAATGGGGACCGGATCAGAGTGCCCCGTTGGGATTCTGGGATGGAGATGAAGATCCCAATCCAGATCATCTTATCCTGAAAAAACTTCTCCTCAGATAGTTTCTGAGATAGACATGGATGTTAAAAATTTAAATGTGCAATGAGTGCTTTGCAAGTATTCCCCTAAGTACATTCCCTGTCATGCATAGGTTTGCAGGTGTCCAAAGGCAATAGGTGCTCTTGCAGTGTTTTTTGCAATGGCTATGAAGTGGAGCTGTGCACTGGTGATTAGTGACTCAGTTCTGAACAAACTGTTCAAGTGTTGGAACCTGAACTGGAGGATGCTGACTCACTGGTGACTGTGAAAACATGCATGTTCTGCCAGCAGGAGGGCAAATAGGATTTAATAAGGCACCATTTATACCTGGGAAAGTACTGACAAAGAAGGAAAAATAAATCAACGAACAGCAGATACTCCTGCAAGCACAGCCCGCAGAGCATTGGTCCCTTCCAACAGCAGTGCTGGAATGCCAGTATTTCCCACTTGTAAGTCATGTGCTTTATATAGCTGAGTTTGTAGTGTGGTGCTTTAGCTATGTGGCTGCAGGATGTGATTCTTGTTACAGACTCTTGGTTGCAGTCTTCAGTTCTCACCTGAATGGCAGCAGTTGGCAAAACTCTCATCTATTTTTTCCTTTTTTTCCTTTATCCTCCTCACAGAATATATCCCTTGTTCTCCTTCTAGGTTCCGGCCTCTTTTTATATGCATCTTATTTTGACAGGAAAAGATGCTGAGACCTATTTCCCTGGAGAAGGCATCTGGAAAGCAGCCAAGCTCTAGCCAGATCCTGGCCACATCTCTCCCTGACAATCTGTAGTTTTCCCACTTCAGCAGGGAGAGGACTAACCTGTTTCCCAGGAGTCAGGCTTAATGTTTTGTACCTTCTTTTGAGGAAAGCTGGTGTGGAACTGAGGTTATCTGCTTGTTTGGCAAATGGCATTGGCATTTCCTTTCTGGAGGGTCACGTCTAGCTTGTTTCTGCATTACACCAACCATTGAAGAGGCTTTCTTTTCCATATGACCAAACACCTTGTTTTAATGGTTGATTTCTGCCAAGTTAACCTCCCCTTGTCCTTTCATTACACGTTCAGCTTTCATATTCTGTCATTCTGAGACCTTGTTTTCTTTTTCTTTCCCTTTCTCTGTCGTCTTTCCTACTAGCTGTCTGCAGCATCCAGCCCTTCCAGTCAGAGTCCTCACAGAGCCTCAGGAAAGGATCCCTTTGCAGAGCTCTCTCTCCAGGATTTCTTGTAGAACAACTTAGGTATTGTCCATTATTCTGGGGAGATGCTGTTTTTTTGTGATATGGAACAAAATTGAAGTTCTAATTCAAGTTTTATTAACATGGCTAGAACTGTTTCCGAAGAAAATAAAACCAAGTTGTTGAGTTGGAAGCATTGTGGAAGCGACTTGGAAACTCCGTGTATTTAACTGCAGTGGTGGAAAGGCCAATTAAGTCTCTTTGCTTCAGTCCATTGGAAATGAAGTTTGCTAGTTCCCCTCTGACCTGTGGGAGCCAGCTCATGTGGTGCTTGCTGCAGTTAAGAGGAAGGAGCTAATGCTACCTGCTGTTTACCATTTCATCAGGAAAATATTTAGAGTTCACAGTTAGCAGCAAAGATCCAACACTGCTGGCAGGCTGCTCATGTGCTTCCCCAGTCGCTTGACCAAAGAGTTCACTTCATGCAGGAGGAGATACTTGTGTGAGAGGTAAATTTTGGTACAGATGTGACTGGAGGAGTTGTGTTCTTTTTTATCAGTCAGAGTCAGGTGGGAATTAAATACTAACAGGAGTGAAAATATGAAAAAAATTCAGGAATTCATTGCATAAAGACAGAGTAGGCTTATTGCACACTGTATCTGCTTTTCTTTGTGCACTTCCTCTGGTTCAGCATGAAAAAAATTACCTTCGGTTCTCATCATAATGTTGTTGATCTGCGTTACTCTGCCACTGGTGACAACATTGCATGGATCACATGGGGGTTTTCTTGTTAATGCAGAGATGTTCCAAAGGCTGGTGTAGTTAGGAGTTGTGTTTTATCAGTCAGAGTCAGGTGGGAATTAAATACTAACAGGAGTGAAAATATGAAAAAAATTCAGGAATTCATTGCATAAAGACAGAGTAGGCTTATTGCACACTGTATCTGCTTTTCTTTGTGCACTTCCTCTGGTTCAGCATGAAAAAAATGACCTTCGGTTCTCATCATAATGCTGTTGATCTGCGTTACTCTGCCACTTTATCAGTCAGAGTCAGGTGGGAATTAAATACTAACAGGAGTGAAAATATGAAAAAAATTCAGGAATTCATTGCATAAAGACAGAGTAGGCTTATTGCACACTGTATCTGCTTTTCTTTGTGCACTTCCTCTGGTTCAGCATGAAAAAAATGACCTTCGGTTCTCATCATAATGCTGTTGATCTGCGTTACTCTGCCACTGGTGACAACATTGCATGGATCACATGGGGGTTTTCTTGTTAATGCAGAGATGTTCCAAAGGCTGGTGTAGTTGGAAAAACATCCTGATGGCTTTCGGTTGTTTCCTGGCCCCGATTTTGTACAGTTTATTTCTGTTCAAAACTCCAACCGTGTGGTAGCTTGGGCATCAGAACAATGGAAATTTTTGAAGAAAACAGGTTTATAGTGAAGTCCTACTTCTGTTGGATGTTAACCCAAGGGTTTTTCATCTTTCCAGATTCAGTTTATGTAACTGTGTTAGATGGAAGAGAAAGGAACAGTTCCAAAAAGATGATGTGCTCAGCAGTAAATCCCCACTTCCAGGAAAAACTGAACTTCAGTCTCTCAACTCTCCTCTTCCATTAAGCGATGCAGTGAAATGACAAAGACCAATGAAGGAAGCCGGGACACCTCCCTAAGAAGACATCGGGATACAATACAGAGCCAAGAATTGCCATGAATTAAGACCAAGATCTATTTTTTTTCCTGATGACTAACACATCGATACTTTCAGCTTCTAATAATATCCATGTTCGGTAACGTACAAAGAGAAGCCTTTGTTCTGGAAATTGAGATTGGTGTTTGGAAATGCTGTCTGGAGGGGAGATGTGTCCTTTACCGTAACTCGAAAGAAGACTCTGGGCAGGGGAGGGTCGAATCCTAACTCATAATTCTGCAGTTACCTTTTCTTCAGTCCTCACAAATGTAGGCACAGCAGTAATGGAAATTAACTTTTTTAAAAAATTATATATTCAGTTTGCAGTAGACATTCCTTATGTATTATTGTTTGTATTTATTTATGATTATCAATTTAACATTAATATTGTATCAAAAAAACCTCCTATGAAAATGAGTATGGATGTATACAGTATGTCTGATTTTTATCCACAAAGAATGAATCTGATTCAGAATGCTTTTCAGCTGACATACAGAGCACTAAATACTTTAAAGGTCTGAATCTAATGAATTCTCAGTATATATGGGAATTAGGGAAGAGCTGTAAAATGCATTAATCCTTATAGTCAATTCTGTGCCTAGGATTTTGCAAGGGAACAGTTAACTGACTAGAAGAAGCACTACATTTTTAATTCAGCATTAGTGCATTGGGAAGGAACTTTATTGCTTTGTGCTTGGCATGTCATTATTTTTACATTTGACATTATAAGGCCTTTCCAAAATGAATGTGAGGAATTGCTTTCACTTTAAGACTTTCCTTCTCTTCTGTAAAAATAAACAAAAGGAGGTGTGTGTTGGGTGGGGGGGAAGCCATTTCATTTGGCTAGTGCCATGTCTCTGGTCATGTACCTTTTAAAAAGTCAAAAAGGGGAAGTAGCTTCCTTACATATGTCTAGTGGGTATTTAGTTCACGGAGAATTAGTCGCACTGTTGATCGGTGCTTTGTGTAAATACATCATAACTTCTGGGTGGAGTGGGGCCTTCAGAAGGATAGTCAGTGATATGAAAGCAATTCTGTACATGAATTAAGCATACTTGCTGCATTGTCTCTGCAGATTCTATTTTTGTTTAAAATATTAAAATGTATGTTAGCAAAAATGGGTGGATTTTCAAATAAAATGCAGCTTCCACAGAACTTTTGTTACGGTATGAAAGTCTGAGGTGCTTTCTTTTTCTTTCTTTTTTGCTGCTTAAAATGTGCACTGATGATTGCTTTGTTTACTTAATAAAATACCAAATGTATTTCATATGTGCATATTGTATTGCAGGAAGTGCAGCAGTAGGAACTTGTGAGTACCTTCCCAGGGCTGCTGTCACACATGGCCTTAGTGCTCCAGTAATGAGTTGTCTCAGTCCTGACTTAATATGATATTTTACCATCTTCTAGTTTCAAAATGTTCATGGGAATGAAGTTTTACTGTTTATAACTGAGCAAGAAGCATAAATATGCCCCCCCCCCAATTATGTAAGTATCTTCCAGCAGAAGGTAATGCTGGCAAAGCTATCAACAGTTTGCCAATTAGGCATCAGTTTTCATCACAGGGAGGGGTTGATAGAAGTGAAACTTTTCCTCTTCACAATAGCCTGAGGTTGTCCTGAAGCTATGTATCAAAATGATCAGTACAGAGTAGTAGATATAAAATATTTTTCTAGAATTGTGAATAAAGCAGCTCTGAGCCTGTTAGTATATAATGCACATGCTTAGATCTGGGGCTTTTCATACAGAGTTTACTTAAATCTTTGCCTTCCTACCCCTGAGGCTTTGACTGTGGCACTGCACCCTCAGAGAGCAACTTTAGCTTTTACTTGTGGTCAGAATATAAAAAAATGCGAATTACCTGAATTGGGGGTCAGCTGAAAAAAAGGTGCAGATCTGTGACCTGTTAGCTAAATCAGTCACTACCAGTGTACAGATTGTTCTGAAACACAGAGCTTAGGTGAAGGATGAACGTAGATCACCCTCCTCTTCTTCCTCCAGTGCCTGGTGTGCTGAGTTATGGTAAAAACAGACACCAGCCTCTCATCTGTTTAGGTCTGTGGTGCTCTCTGCAGAGTGTTTTAGTCTGGTTTGAGGCTTTTGACTAAGGACAGATCTATAGATCTGCGTTCCTAGATCTCTTGATCCCGTTGACCCGCTCTGTAGAGCTGTTGACTTGAGGCTGCAAATCATGCAGGTGCCAAAAAATCCCCAAGACCCAAACTCACCTTTTCTGCAGGGATGATGAATTCATGTTACCCTTTAATGCTCACTCATTGTTGCTCTGTGTTCCTTAACACAGCTGCTGTGCAGGTTACGCTTTCTTGTTGAAGGCCTTGCTAATAACCCTTGCTTTTTGGTTTATTGCTTGGAGGCAAACTGGTTTGAGAATTTTCCTGTGTATTATTTTCCCATTTACTTTGTTCCCACTAAGTATGTTTGCTTTCAGTGTCACTGAAATAACACTCAGTTTAACTTAATTTGGAAAGCATAGTGCAAGGATGTGTTTCGTTTGAATTACTGGCCCTTTTCAGCAATGGGGGTGGTTGTGAAAACCTGGTTCTCTTCAGAATTGAGTTCAAAGGCTGTTGAATCTAGAGGAGCAAACTCTGTCTAGGGCAGCTGCCTGCTCTGAGCAAGCAGGGGAGGATGTAGTGCTTTGTTAGAGGGATGTGGTTGCTCATATAGCTGTATGCAGGAAATTGGTGTGGCTATTCTGACACATCATAGAATTCTATAGGTAAAGCAACTGGATTTACCTCTGGAGACAATTACTCTTGGCAGAACAAGAACCTGAACAGCTCCTTAGTGTGTTTTCTAAAATCCCAAATGTAGAATCTTCTTCTGGAGACAGCTCTAAATTCCTTTGCTGCTTCTGTTCTTTGTTCCAAAGTCACAAACTAAACTGAGCTGTACCTCAGGACATGTTTAAAAGCTGTCTTTGCGTGACTTTACATGACAGCAGAGGGTCCATTCAGTCAGCTACTGGAATAAAGCACAGGCTCTCCCAGTTGCCAAACAGCCCTTCAGCAACAAGGGGGGACAGGGTGCAACCCTGCATGTTTTATTAGACAGAAAGTGCCTGTTTGCAGAGCCTGACACCCATTTTGTAGCAACATAAATGAATTGCAACTTGAAGGCCATGACATAACTGAGATAAAGATTGTGGTAGAGAAATGTGAATTAAGTGCTAAAAACATTGGGGATGATAGTAAATGCTGATGGGAGCAGAAGATTGACAAGATAATGTGAGGGGTAGTGAAGAAACGTGCTGAACATGGACAAAAAGCAGCACTAATGGGAGCATATGGAAACTGAAGACAAGCTTTTTCCTTGGCCTCTTGGCAATCTTTTGACTTGACCTTTGGAGCTCTCACACTGCAGTGGAGGGAGCAGAAATAGGCTTGACATCTTCCGCTGAATGTACCCAACAAGAAAAATCTGTGAGTTGTTGATGTTTTCCATGTTCAAACTGGAGAGCAAAGGGAATTGGCTGATCAGCTGGCTGCATTCTGGCTCGATCAGGAGAACCAGTGAGGAGGACAAAACCCTGAGCAGGTTCCCTGAAGGTGTAACATTGCTGCCACCCACTCACCACCCTTTTGTATCTGAAGGTTGAGTAATAATATATCCATTTCACTTGTGGGAGATGGCCTGCCAAGATAACAGATCAGTCCCTGAGTGAGTAAAACGCATTTACTTCTTTTCTTGCTTCTCTCATGATGAAATTTCCTGAGGCAAAGATCAAAAAGCCTTGGAACAAACAGCCAACTTCCTTAAATTTCTGTTGTGTGAGGCAATAATGTACAGAGAATGTGTTGGATGCAGCATATTGCTTTGGATATCCGGCAGCTGCAGCACAGGAGGAGCACTGGGGTCTCATGTTTATTTTCAGAGCATGGATCTCAGCTTTGCTCACAGGGGTAACTGCTGCACTTCCCTGTGCCAGCTACAGCTGCCCAAGCACTGCTTTTTTTAGAAAAGCAGTACTTAATACAATTTTAGCCTCTTGCTTCACCTTAATCACTGAAAGTGAGGAAAAGATCCAGCACCGTGTTAAATTCCAGTTTTCCATGTCTCAGTGGAGACATTCAGTGGGCCACATATGGGAACAGTTGCTGGCATCTTGTTACCATGTCATGTCCTAAAACAACATAGTGTTTGTGGGAGAATGCAGAACACGAGTTCTTTAGTGTTGTATTGCAAAAAAAAAAAGACAAAACAACATCTTTACTTTTGCAGTGGACTCAAAATCCAAGGGAAAGTTTTTTTTTCCAGGGGAACATCCAGCTGCAAAACATCAGCACTTAAGATGCTAACACCATTAGATTCTCTGTTCTGTGCTTGTCACTTTAGAGTAACTTTTCAGTCCATTAGCTGCTGCCTTGACCTTATTCTGGCAAACTCCTTTTAGCCCACAGAAGCAGAGTGTTTAATAACTTCTCTCTCAGAAAGCAGCCAAACAAGAACAAATGCTGCAGAACAAGTCTCTTACCCTCATTTCCCGAAACACGCAGGTCTGGACCTGTGGAAAAACTGCCTTGTTATACAACTGAGCTGCAGCAGAGGCTGCAAACCTCTCAAAAGCCAGACCAAAAGTGAAGTAACCCACATTCCCTGCAGCTCAGGCTGGGGGGAGATCACACTTGCACAGCCAGACTACAAAGCAGTGTATTCTAGTTGCTTGACTCTACAGGGCAGTTGCTCAGAGAGGGTTCAAGTCAGCAGCCTGCTGAGGTAAGCAGCTCCTCCTGGTGCTGGAGTGGATACAGGCTGTCAGCATACCCACCCCACCCCACTGTGCTTTTTAGGCATTCCATGGATTGATGTTTCTCAGTTCCAGCTCATGGACCCCTCAGCTCTATTAAAATAGTTTTTAATTACCATGCAGCTTGAGTGACGCTCTTATTTCTTTAACTTTGAATTCCAATGAATACTTGTTGGGTTTTTTCTTCCTGTTGAAACTGCAAATTTCTTAAGAGTTCTGTTGTAGTTAAATATGTAACTCCAGCTCAACAGAGGCTTTGCTTGGATTAGAGTTGTGGGACACATGGACCCTTTCTTGTGTCCTAGAGTTGTCTTGTGCAAAAGAAACACAGTAAAGAAAAGGTATTTCATAATGCTGGGAAAGTAAGGGTGTCTCCTGTAGGTTTTGTCCTAACTGGAGGAGTGAGCCCTGACTCCCATTGTTTAAGCAGGGATTGGAAGCACTGGCCATGGTGGCAGAAAGTGGACTGATCAGCTCTCTGGTTTACAACATGCTGCTCGTTTCTGAGAGATTTTGCCAGTAACAAATTTATCAAATCCAGATGCTTCATGTGCTGGAGACTTTCTCCATATGTGCTTTCTCCATATGAAAGCCTCACACTGCCCTTAATGCTAATCCTATAGAAATCAAGGGGATTTGGGACACTTCACTAAGTATGTTTTGCTACAGGCTGTTGCTTCTGGCTTGTGCAGGCTGCCTGTGGCTTGTACCCTAATTAGCATGTTTGGGATTTCTTTTTAACTCCTTCTCACCCACACAGTCCATAATAGGAAAAGGCTGAACAGTGACTGGAGGAAGTGAAGTCAGTTTTTTCCAGGTGCAGGTTTGTTGTTCTGCACATTGTGTTATGCATTATGGGCATAAGCCATTAGAAGCCTAGAGATGGGCCCTACATTTACACCACTAGAAAATGTAAATCCCCTTCGGGGAGCAGTGGGAAGAAGGAGAAGCCTTTCTTTAACCGAAAAGCTATTCAGCACAAGCCATATTCTAACTCTGTATCTAAACAAGAAGAAGTAATCACTAAGCAGAACTAATCTCTCTCCCAAGTAAGCATTTCATGGGGCTTGCACTGCACTCAAAGCAAGACAGCATAGCTGAGGGGAAGCTTCTGCTATGCTGCAAGCATGACTGTCTCACAAGTGTGGATCCCTGGACACTCGAGGGCTAGGAGTCACCACAGCCTTTGTGGTAACTCGCTTGGTTTACAGCAGGGACACGTCCAAACTCACTCACCTGTTTACCATATGGCAAAGCAAGTAAGAGTCAGTCTGAGACGCAGTCTGCCACCGTCACCTGTGTGCTTGTGAGCCTGGGTCCTGAGGAGCTGTGGTCAGTGGAGCCAGAGAGCAGTTCCACTCACCTGCAGCTCAAGGAGACACCTGCTGGGCAGGAACCGCTCGCTTGGAAGGCCAGAAATGTTTGCACTGAAGTATAGGGTAAGCTGAGACACTGCACAGAAATACAGGTGGTTTAAAATGTTTTAAGCTTTTAAAACAGATTTATTCCAAACAGCTGATTAATCTGTCAAGGGTTTAAAAGAGATTACTGAATGCTGTCACGAGTATCTAAACAGGAAATGCAGAGGTCAGAGCCTATGTGTGGGAAGTGACTGCATTGTGTGCTCCTGAGAAAGTGTCCAGGGTGTGCAGTGAGAGTGGAAAGCCCCCACTGCTTCAATGCCCTGAGATATATGTTCATAGAGACCAAAGATAGGTGGTTACACAACACTCTTGGCCAATTCTATACAAAAGACTTATTCAAGACTTCAATGACATCTATGCTGTTCTTAATTTTTCTATTAATTTTTGTTTATATTTAAGTAGGGGAGGTTATGGAGACACAAAATGCATTCAAACACTCAATTTGTAGCAGTAGTTGAATTATGCTTGATGACTTAATTCTGCTTTAGCAGAGCATTAATTATTTTGTAACAGTCCTGTGTTTTATGGCAGCCTGCCCTTACCCATTCAGTGTCCCATCAAGAGAGAATTCCATATTTGATAGGCTACAAGTGGGACCACAAAAATTAAATATTAACTCAGATCCTTTAGTAGATATATGTGCTGCTGCATAGACTGAATAGCCTAAAAAGTGCACAAGAACTCTCTCAGTGGTAAGGAAAGGACCCTGTCAACTAGCCATCTGCACACATTCCCTCATTAAACTTACATGTGTGAGCTGTGATTCAAGCACTCAAAAATAGTTTTCACAAAGCCCAATGCCACACACTTCTTGAAGAACAGAGCAAATATTTATTGAACTGACAATGTTACACTGCTGTGTTAACAGCATAGCTTGTCTAGTTTAAACCAACCTTTTCTTTAGATAAGTTCTTGATCATCTGAGCTGTGATGTGCCTGTCTGATTTATCAACAATGTCATCTTCTCTGTGGCTCGTGCTTGGCATTTCTTCTGGTTTCTCATGAATAGGCATGGCTGTTCCAACCACAAACATTACCTTACTCTTCAGAGGATGCAGTTTTAAGTATTCCTTAAAATGAAAGAATATTATTACTTTGCAATTACACAGAAAAGCAGCCACTTTTATAAAAATAAATACAAATAGCAACTTTCCTTTTGAAAGCAACTGTAAAGGTGCTGCCCCTGGGTTGCTCTGTTTGGTAATGTCAGTGCTAATGGGCCCCCTTTACTAGACAGCTCAGCTTAGGAGGCTTTAACCCTGCTGCCCTTGTATTCTCCTCTGTTTTCACCAATAACACCTTCTCTGCAATCCAAATTCTACTCTTAGCTTCAGTTCTGTGAGAAGAATTAAACTAATCCAACAGCTCACTCCTGCCAAAACTGAGGTCCAAACCCAGCCGTGTACTTCTGCCACGTCTGCACTGGCTCTGGTCTTCTCCAAACCTCTGAGTCAATTTGGTTGACTAACCCAACAGAAAACTAATTCATGAGGAGAACAAAAAGGGCAAGTTTTCCTGCTGGGTTAGAGAGTGAATCAGCTAGAGAAGGCCAATGTGCACTACAGGCTTCCTAATGGCAGGAGCCAAACCAGGGAGAGGGAAGGAGAAACCTTCCTGTGCAAGCTCTTGAATCACCTCTGTTTAATCACCTCTGATTAATCAATGCCAATGCAACTGCACTGTTTGCAATTGCCTCTTTGTTGTTAGGAAGTAGGAGGATGTCAGCAGGAGCAATGGCCCTTGGTGGGCTCTGCAGTGCTACCAGCAGGAAGAAAGTACAGCCAGTATTCCTCTCCCAAGGCAGCGACTGCAAGGAAAAACACCTGGACAGATTTCTTTTCAGCTTTTCTCTGTAATGACTGTTCTGGACAAAACCACTCCTTAAGTTAGTCTCTGGCCAAGGCAACAAGATGATTTCTCTGAACACAAGTTGGAGGGTATTGACCAAACTAATGCCACATTTTTAGGAGAAGAGTTGTTGAGGGTTTTGTTGTTTGCTTTGCTTTTGTGGTTTTTTAAAAAACTCATTATTGAGTAAGTTTGAATAGAATATTCAAGAGTAAAGAAACATTATGGAGAACTATCTTCATGCAGCCCTGCAGCCTGCACCATGTCTATATCATCTTTGTTTGCAGTAGGAATCGGTGATGTAGCATAATATATTTTAGTGTAATTAGTTTATTTAGAAATAAGCTTTTGTAACTCAAGGGAATCAAAGACACCCAGGAAATAATATATTTTAAAGCCTAGGATTGAGGATGTCCTCAAGCAGGTGCCATCACGTCTCAGAACCACACAGACTCTGGCTATTTACATATAACCTATACCTTTTTATTTTCCCAACCCCTGTCGTTTGCTCCCAGGAACACCTTCATATTGGCTTTCTGTTGAAGGAATATTGATCCTTCAATGCTACTATGCAACACAGATCCTAAAGGACCAGTACCCAAGCAAGTGAGTCTGTGCAATGCCATAGAGGACTGTCACTAGGTGACATTCAGAATTTTTTCTGAGGGGAATTTCATCCTGATACTCCATGTGCTGATTCCTTGGACACCATTCAATTGCCAACACAATGTGTCTCATGATATCAGAAAATCCCTAGGGCATCCAAAACATCCACATGAGGCTGTCCTGTATGACACAGAACCTGTGCTCTTTTGGCCCAGCATCTCATGAACATGGAGTGTCCTAACTGTCCCAAACAGCACCAGAGGTAAAAGAAGCTGGAGTTTTTGCTGCCATAGCGCTATTGGAAATAGAATAGTCCTGGCAGTAGTTCATGTTCCATACCAAAAGATGTTTGTGCCAGTGAAAAACAGGATTGCTTTAACTCATACCTGGAAATCATCTTCAAGCAACAAGCGATTCAGAGTTGGAGTGAAGGACTTTTCCCACAGCTCCTCATCACTGTCTTGAGGCTTCTCATTCCCTGTTTTAGGCTCAATCTTTGGAAAGGCTTCTTCTTCCTGACAGGGAACTGTGTCACTTCTGAGGTTCTCTTCTCCATCTGTCTTTGCTTCTTAAAGAGAAGAAAAATGATGTGTATGTAATTGTTAAGCCTTATGGAAGTCAGAATCAGTCAAAGAACAGCTTGGTAGGATTTTTAACTGGCAATCCAAGCCAAATGTTAATTTTCCTCACTGATTTTTTTTAATGTGTGTTTTTGTTCACAATTTCAGATCAAAATCAGGGACTGAAATTGAATGGCAGGGAGCAAATGAGCTTTTATCAGTTCATCTTCAATCCTGTAGAGCCCCAAATAGTTTTAACAAAATCAGAAAGGCAGCAAAAACAAGTATAAACTTTTTCTATACCCAAGTATGTGTATCTGTAGGTACATATATACAAGTTCCTGAAACACAGCTAGTCAACTTACAACTCCCCTGCAGAGCTCACATCTGCAGTTGACTAATTCTCAGGATGACAGACACCTGTGGACATGGACTGACAAGTTACAGGTGTGTCTGGACAGTGACCTGACCCCAGCTTATTGGAACAAAACCTGCTCCTCCAGTAACTACTGCAAAGGTCTCGCACAGGTAATCAGAGTAAACATATATCTAATTCAGAAGCCTTAGACAAAATGTTTGCTGGTGCCTAGTGTTTTCCAAAGGCTGTGGCTGGGACTGATCAAACTTCAAAAGACTTCTTCACATATCCATAATTCTATTACTTCAATTTTTGTAACTTATCTCTTTAATGTTGGACTTTATTTCCCCCCTCTTTCTTCTACTCACATAAAGAGGTAAAGTAAAATGTGGGATACTAAGAAGTTCACAGAAACTACCCTAAACAGAGAAGCATACTCACACAGGCATTCTTGCCTAATGGTATATCCTTTTCCTGGGCACACCTATCAGAATAGATGGAGATTCAGCCCCAAATTCAGCACTGCTTATCAAGATTTGCAGTTCAGGCTGAGCTCCTTCATCAGCTCTTGCTAGGGATTTATTTATAATTTACCTCTGCCGTATCTCTATGAACTAAATGACTGTAAAGTGCGGGTACACTTGAAGTGAAAGCCACAGCAGAGTTCAAGAGTATCCTCTCAGGGGTAAGACACAACGAAGTCATGATGATATGGATCAGTAAAGAACTGAGTGAGATATGAATTTAAAAAATGGCCAATCCTGTTAACCACATTCTAGGCTAGCTCTAGGTGAGGCATTATATTCAACAATCTAAACACCAATTTCAGTGTAAAAACTGAATTACAGGAAGATTGTGATTTTGTCTTAATGCAAACTAGAGTTCAGCTACAATCAGGTGGGAAATTGGGTCTTCACCATCAGACAAGCAGTTTGATAAAAAAACTTAAGAAATAAAATGCCTGTAAATGTCCAGTAACTTATCAGTTCTTATAAGCTCCTGCCATGTACATTATAGAATCATAGAATCAGCTGGGTTTGAAGAGACCTCAAAGATCACCAAGTCCAACCCTACCATCATTACTAGACCATGGCACTAAGTGCCACATCCAGTCTCATCTTGAAAACCTCCAGGGATGGTGAATCCACCACCTCCCTGGGCAGCCCATTCCCATTCCAATGCCTGATCACTCTCTCTCTAAAAAATCTCTTCCTAATATCCAACCTAAACCTCCCCTGGCAGAGCTTGAGTCTGTGCCCTCTTGTCCTACTGCTGGTTGCCTGGGGGAAGAGACCAACCCCCACCTGACTACAACCTCCTCTCAGGTAGCTGCAGAGGGTGATAAGTCTTTCCTAAGCCGCCTCTCCTCCAGGCTAAACTCCCCCAGCTCCCTCAGCCTCTCCTCATAGCACGTGTGCTCAAGTCCCTTCACCAGCCTCGTTGCTCTTCTCTGGACCTGCTCCAGCACCTCAATATCCTTCCTGAACTGAGGGGCCCAGAACTGCACACAGTATTCAAGGTGTGGCCTCACCAGCACCAAGTACAGGGGCAGAATCACCTCCCTGGTCCTGCTGACCATGCTGTTCCTGATACAGGCTAGTGTGGGAGATTTTCTGATTGCTAACGGACATGTGAGCAATCCAGCCTTGCTAGCAGGGCCTGAGCAAGCTGCAAGCTAAGCTGTTCAAGGACACAGCTGCGGTTGGAATGTGAGAAAGAAGGTAGCAAGATAAGCAGCTCTGGCTGTGGGATGCAGAAGTTGAAGATAGGGGTGGAGAATAATGGTTACGCATTTTATGATTGATATGTTAATAACCAATTATGTTGTGTGTAAGGTGGGCTAGTAATAGTAGTTAACCAATGATAAGTGGGCACTTATAATAGGTGTGTATAAAAGAATCACTTTTGTAAATAATAAAGAGCCACGAGATATTCAAGAAGATAATAATGGCATCACCTCTTTGTACACTAACTCCCGCAGCCCAGGATGCCATTGGCCTTCTTGGCCACCTGAGCACACTGCTGGCTCACGTTCAGCTTTCTATCTGTCCAAACTCCCAGGTCCCTTTCTGCCTGGCTGCTCTCCAGCCACTCTGTCCCCAGCCTGTAGCACTGCATGGGATTGTTATGGCCAAAGTGCAGGACCAGCACTTGGCCTTGTTAAACCTCATCCTGTTGGAATCAGCCCATCTCTCCAGCCTGTCCAGGTCCCTCTGTATTACCTGCATATTCTCCACATTCCACTTTCATTTCATCCTTAGGAAAATCTTCTGGCAAGCCAACTGCCTCGGTGAGAAACAAGTCACTATGAAATAAAAAAGTCAAAGTGAGACTCATATCAGAGGTCTGAATTTTCTCCCTAAACTGCCCTATGCTTTGGGGGGAGGGGAAGCACACCCTGAAAGCCATTTGCCGCTTAACCACAAATGCAGAATAGCACAATGGTTTAAAAATGCAGTGGAGGCAGCCAGGTAGCTTAGTGCCTAATAAGCTTCTCATTTTTATTCTCAGTGCCTGAGTTCAACTATGTCCATGAGACTAAAAGAAAACAAATGTTATAGTCCCTAGTCAGTCCAAGATTCAAACCACAGCTGGCAGCTCTCACTTAAAAGCAATCCAAAGTTTGGAAAGGAGAGAAAAATGGTCACTTCTTAAGACTTGGAAGTTTTTTATGCAATATGGCTAAAATCACTGAGCTGGGACTGGAAAATGAAAATGGATCATTTGAATTGTTGCATTGTGCTTTTGATACCATTAGTGTTGACATTCTGTAGCTAAAATAATCTTCCTCTAGGGAACAAGTTAAATATTTTCAGTACAAAAGAAGTTAATGCTACAGACACCTCTACAGACAGACATATCCCAAGGGCTCTTCCTTACTCAGTGCCAAGTCATCCGTTTCACTTAAGATTACAAACCCCCCTGTATTTGCATTATTAATCTTCACATCATTAAACATTTTGCCAACAGTAAAGGAAAAAGCTATTATTCAGCACTTGGTCTGAGAAGCTGGGGCTGAGACCATCTAATTACAACACAAAGAAACTATTTCCACTCCCCAGTGGTATCCCCACTAAAAGAAAGTGAGTGGTGCTAAGTCTTAATAGATTATTAAAGAATCCAGGTTTCTTCCCTGAATTTTGGTATTTAGGAGGATTCAGTGTTACCATCATCCTTCAGAGAAACAAGTCACACACACAGAGTCAAATCCTGTCTCTCCTCAACTGGGAAAGTACCTTGGCTCTGATGTGGGAGAGCCCAAATAGCTCTAGAGGCAGAAGGTGGCATTATCCTCTGAAAAATAATAATCACTTCTGAGTCTCTAAAGACATTACTTTACCTGGGCACTCTCAGATTCTGAAGTTTGCTGTCAATCAGTTTTGCCACTAAACAGGTATTTTCTTCTTCCAGGAGCTGAATAGAAGCTTTCAAATCACTTACTTCCTTTTGGTAGATCTTAATCTTTTAATGATTTAAAAAAATACAAATAAAATCTTGGGATTTTGGAAAGCTTTCACAGCAGCTAGTCTAACAGCACATACCTACAAAGAATGCAGCTGTATCAGCAATACTGCACATTTGGTGACACATCTCCAGGCAAAGGGAAGATCTCTCTGGTTCTTTCACACCTTTATTAGAACCTCTTTACTGTCACAGCTCTGTCAATCACAGCCACACATTTGGGCTGTGCAACCCTGACAGCAAAACCTTCTCATGTAGTCAAACAGGTGTGCTAGACAGGAGCTCTGGAGTTTTCCCTTTTGCTTTCACATCAGGGCTTTGAGAGAGAAAAACCTTTGTAGAGTTAAACTCAGGCCCTTGCTCAGCAAGTGTTGTTTTTCTAATTCCTGCTTATACACAAAACCTTCTTACCCAGAAGTAGTGAAGTTTTCAGTCCAAGTTACCATGACATTGGCTAAACTCCAGGTTCTACTCTTTCAGACTGGTAATCACCTTGTACATATATATAGTCATACTAACCAAAGGATACCAGCTTTTCAGTTCCCACAATTCCTCCCATTTTTCCTGATGTACAAGCAAGTTCTTATCCCCTCCACTCAAAAGGGGAATGTACCTTGGGAAAGATACCCTCTCAGAAATCTTAGCCACATGCATGTTTAAAAGCAGTACCTAGTGATCTGAGAGCATATGCTCTCACGAAAACCAAATTAACTCAGCTATAATAGTCCAAATTTGCAGTTAAAAGTAGTTCAAATTTGTCCCAGGGATTAAAAAGGTGAAGATGACAGGACATTAGCCAGTAAAAGGATGTGGCTTGGCATGGTGAAATGATACAGCTTTTCACCATCTTGGTGCAACACAGTAACCATGAAAAAATGTGACTGAAGTCTCCAAATCTGTTCAAATTTGGAGGTAACTACTTTAGGGCTGTTTTGGTAAGTCATTTTTCAGCTCAGTGGCCAAATTGAAAAAAACCAAATTATAAATTTTCAACTGAGACAAAACAGAAGTTTTTGGTTCATCTTCCCAAAAGAAAATACTGGAACAGTCTGTCAGCTACATATAAACATCAGCCTGAGAGAAGATATTTCATCCATGTACAAAAACCAGAGAGAATTAATGGGTGAATTCAGAGGACTGGAGAAGTTACCGATAATAGTTTTGTTTTCCAAAAAAAAACCCAAAAAAACCCAAAACAAAACAAAAAAACAACACTAATTTATAACATAGGAAACTACTAATATAGGAAAGTAATTCATAACATAAGAAACTTGTAGTTGAGAGAAAAGAAACCCAAATCCCTCAGCTCTGAGATGAGGGCCTGTCAGGACATCAGAGTACTCCAAAGTGGATCTCTCTTGTTGGCGCTGCCTAATGTGCGTAAAATTCATGAGTATTCAGTGAGACAGGGAGATGAGAAGAGAATTCATACTCATTCAGTTCTGGGATGTATAGATTTGAGCTCCTGTTTGTTTACACAGAACAAAACATTAATTTTTTTACTATTAATCCCTACCCTCGTTGCTTCAAAAGCTGTGGTTTGGACACCTGCCCTGGAGAGTTGAAGATGCATGCTCAGAGCTCATTAAGGGGAAGAAGGAAATCTCTATCCCTGCATACTGGCAAGTATCTTAAACTAGGGAATAAAATGGAGAAACCTCTGCCAGGTTTGTTGATGTGGCATGGGAAAATAAGTTCATTTATTAACTTCCCAAAATGTTTTGCTCAGTTCTAAACTGTGAAGCTGTAAAGGTGGGGAAGGGCATCTCACCCACCAGTCTCATACTCAGATTTGATCACAACAAAGAACCTGTATTGACTGGAATAAACACAATCACGTTCAGCATAGAAAAGCCAGTTTCCTAAATCTGGCTCACACAAAAGCTTTTTCTTGACAAGAAAAGTTACAGCTATCTAATACATAGCTCTAAATTGCTATTAAAGGACAGTATAATAACTATCAAGTAATCAATTACATCTATATACAATTTTTATTTTCCCCTCTTCAGTGTTTAGTCCCCATAGTTCCTTTATTACCTTCCATTTAAAGTTGACTTGAGCCATTTCACAAAACATGTTTCCAACATCCATCTCCATTTTCTTCCAATACAGCAGCACTAGAACTTTAATGCAATTCAAAACTCCACTCTAAGGATACTTATATGGTTGAGCCTTTACACTATGTAAGTCTTCCAATCTCCACAGATACAAATACTTGTGTGGAACATTGTAGCCCTTTATGTAACTGCTTGGGCAGGAACCCCTGTTCATTTGTGAAAGCAGATGTTCACCTTCTACCTTTATTCACCACATTACATTCTTTGCTGCTCAGGATTACAGATTAATTACATGAAAATTGCTCTCCTTTTCCTACAGGAGTCTTCAGAGGCTTATCCCTGGAAACAGCTATGACTCTAGGCCGTGGCATTTCAAACATGAACTACCATGATAAACTGTAGGCAAGTGATCCTCTCTTACCTCTTCTTTTAGCTGTTCATTCTCTTCAATATCTCTGCGACTGCTTTTGTCTAAGTATTCCACAGCCTTCTGAAAAAACACAATTTAAGATCATCTCATCTGAAAGCAGAACTCTGACAGCCCTGCATACTATAAAGAAGAACCTTCTGCTCTCTACCAGGAAATAATTAAGAAGCATCCACATAATAGACTGTAGCATCCCCTGAGGGATTACCAGAGGATTTAGCTCGCAAGGCCAGCTGTTTCTTCTCCATCATCCTGCCTAGAGCAGATTATATATCAAGCAATTTACTAATATTTTATAATTTCCCATATTAAAATAGAACATTTCCTGTTCTCAACTAACAAGTTCTTCTATGTTACCTCTACTATTGAAACCTTCCTGTTTTCAGAAAATCAAACCTTCAGCTATTAATAAAACCCAAGGAAGATCACAAATGAGGCAGTACTGATCAAAGACAAGTGACCCAAACATGTAGAGGTCTGTGCTAATGAGCCAAGGCTACAATTTCATTACTGATGTCAGTAAGTGGAAAGGAACAACTGGGAGGGAAAATGCCCCATAAACACAGTCCATTAGATTATGTTGTCACATGCCTGGAAATTCCAGCACTGAAGTCAGGGAATTTAAACACCTAATGGGCCTAGTGATTCATGCTGAAGTGTGCTTTACATTTTGTGAAAGCAAGAAGCTGTCACTATAACTATTTGTAAATCGTGTTTTCAAATCAGAGCTGGCAGAGATGATAAAATAAAAATAATGTATCAATAAACCTAAATTTTCCCATAGAATGAACTATTTTGGCATTTAAAAAATGTACTTTACAAGTACAAAATAAACTCTTTTTTTCAAATTGATGTATATTTTCATGGAGACAACCTCTTTGTATGTTATTGTTTTTGAAGTCTACAAAAACGTCAAAATCAAGGTCACAGCAAAAGTGACATGTTCTTGAACAAATCATGTCAGTGAATGGTGCCCCAGTTTCCCATACCCTGTTTGGAAAATGCCCTCACACCTGCTCATTGTCAGTCTGATGTAAAGAAAACAAAAGCACATGTATGCATAACAATAATCAATTCCACATGTAGTAATATTTACAGTTTATTTTACTCTCAATTTATTAGAAAAGTTCCAAGTCTTAATTCGAGTTAGAATAATTATTAATGCAGAGCACATGTCTCCTAACTATGATGCAGTTAGCAGTTTTTAAAAAGGCAGAAGGAATACCTTAAGGGCCTGTTCAATAATTAACGTCAAGCTCTTGTCAACCAGACTGTCATTTTCTTCTTTCACTGCTTTCAAAGCATTTCTGTAATATTCTTCAAAACACAAAAAAAAAAAAAAGGAAATCAGGAATCATTATTCAACATCAATTTCTCCTGACAACAAATAGATAATTGCTATGTTGTTACTCAACTGGAACCTAACAGTGAGCATCACCTGCATAGATCCTCCACAGAAAAGGATTCAAACATCCTTCTCCATAGGAACTGCCTTCCTAAACCCAAAGGACAGTAGGGTTAACTACAAAACCAGAAATCAGAAATGGCTTATACGTTTCTGTTGACAACTGCAACAGCTGAGCAATTCACTGCTAGCTGAGCAGTGAGCTGAGCAATTCTCTGCTAAAGTACTGGCACCTTAACATTATATTTTGTCTCTATCAATAGCAGAGCTGCTGGAGTCATGTGAGAGATTTGCTTAGAAAAATTATTTTTTAGATATAGAAGCATATTAGATCATCTTATCCACATGGCATTTTTTCAGATAGTTATTAGAAATAAATCTTCGGACTTATCTAAGCCTCTAAGGTTCTAATTTGACAACAAGACAAAATGGACAATGTGGCAATTGCCTTGATGATTTGCTTTTATCATTACTTATGTTATTATTTAGAAAGTGTCTGTTTGGCTTCACATTCGCTATTTAATTATTTTATTTCATCCTTCCATTTAGTTCTTTTTTTGCTCTTTCAAATAGCCCATTTCTGCTTGACATTTCCTCCTTTGAAGGAATGAAGGAGACTGCACTCTTTTTCTTTGAAGGAAAGCACTTTATACTTGTAACAGAGGCTTGAAATTTAGCTTTGCTCCACACTTGTGTTGCAGACATCCTATTGCTGATCTGGCTGTAAATGAGTATCTGCTCATGGACCCACTGTGGAGTCAAAGGCAGTCAAATATGAAAAGTGCACTACTTGTGCATTAGTTCTGAATTTAACACTGTGGAAGCTGGAATTCACCCTCTAGGACTTGACAGAATGAAATGGAAGTAGTTCTATACTATAATTTTTTCACTACTTCATTCTTTCAGACATCTAAATAACCTGACTTGTACTGGGACAATGAAGACAGTGAGGAAGTGTTCAGACCTACTGTTCCTGAGGATGTTATTTTCCCTAAGTCTTTCACTGCAACACTGTTTCCCCCACACCTCACCTAAGTATATGACTCTCTTTTGCTTCCTCTCCTCTCCAGCTGTTTTGTTTAAAATGTCATCTCCAGACATGAACTGTGCCAGTGTTAAGCCCCTCAGTGGTAAGTACAGAGCCAGAAACCTGTTCACCTATGCTTATTCCCTAAGCCTGTTATGCATTCGAGGTGTGAACAAGCCCAATTTGTTGCCATGTTGCTCTGAAAACTTGTTAGACTTCTGGCTGTATTCCTCAGACACTTTCTACATTCAGTTTTAGGAAGTGAAGTAAAGTAGTATGCTAACACCCAGTACTGGCAGCATCATTTTGCAGTATGTACCTCTGTAACAGTCTTTCAATACAATTAAACCACGAATTTTCAACTCTGTGCCCTGTGACATGCAGGAGGTCAGGCTGAATGTTCCTACTGGCTCATTCTGGCATTCTCATATAAAAGCCCATTCTCTTTTTCATTTCATATTTCAGCAGCTGCATAGCAAAGTTTTAAATTTATTAAGAACATGGAAAATGCATAATGATAAAAAATTCAACCCCTCCCTCCTGAACAGGGAGGCAGATATCTGACAACGTAGAAATCACAGGGCAGTCTTAATCGTGATAAAATATGCTTCAAGAAACAAAAAGATAGCTAGCTGGCTCTTGTCTGCAGTAGTTGATGCCTGGTAATGGTTGGCACAGAATATACAGAGACCCTTAGAGCCGTGTCACTGCCTGTTACTACCAGCTGCTTGGCTGTGGTCATGCATACTGAGAGGGACATAAAGGAATAAAACCAGGACATCCCTCTTGTGTTATGTATGGGATATGTAACAGCAAAATATTTTAATGATTTTAAAATCTTTGTAAAGCCCTCAGCAACAGAATATATAAGCTTTCAGATTAATTCCACTGTTGTGACAGCACTGAAACAGTTCCCAGTGTTTGTATATCTCTGTACGGGCAATTTTGCAGGGCCTCATACACAAGACTATGCAACTAGGAGGCAAAGTTCAGACCACTGGGTAAAGAGCTCCCTCTAGTCCTGCATGTAAGCCAGTGTGCTCCAAAGAAAACACTGGTCCAAGAATGAGCTCATACTACTTTCCTGTCAAAGGAGTTTTCAATATGTGAAGTGCTTGCAGCATGATGAGAAGCAACAGCAGCAGTCAACATTTTCAAGTATGACTGCTAAGGGAGCCCTGTGTGTAGGTGACCTAAATGTATGTAGACTTATTTTTAGAAAACTGCTCTCCTTCCCAGTAACATTTTTTAAAAATGGGTTGCCTGTATTTTACAAGAAAATGGTCAGAAGAAAAACCTAGCAGTTTCTTTAACTGTTCATAATTTCAGTAAACTTTATCAATTTCTTAAGTAAAAGAACTTCTACAGAGAGCAAGAGTGAGAGAAAGGTAATCCTTACATTTTTCAGGATTATGCAGCCCACCTTAGGTGAACTGTCTTAGAAAAGTTGATGCAAGTTACTAGAACTTGACCTCAAGTTAAATTTTTAATTTAATTCATTCAAGCAATGCACAAAGAGCATGTAAGACTTGCATTACACTAGCTGTAAACTGACCTGTAGTTCTTTGAAGGTCATCTTTGACTTCCTTAATCTCTTGTTCCAGATTCATAATTTCGTTAGCCTGTGTTTTACTTCCTACATTTTTGTACTCCAACCAATAATCTCTCTCACGCTGCTTTACTGCAAGTCTTTCCTTAGCTTCTTCAATTTGTGAGTGCAGATCTATTAAAATAAGAATGTCAGAAGATGAGTTCAAACTGATTTCTTGAACTGATAATTCATAGAGCTTCATCAAATTTTTAGAAAACACTTTCAGAGGGATTGGAGAAGCAAGGGGGACTCTTCTACACTATAATACATTACAATGTGACAGCCTCACATAGTGTCAAGGGCCACCATCACTGCTGAAAACAATTTGATCTTATTCTGCCAAGGAGAGACAACAGTTCTTACTGAAATGCTATAATCAAAGACACGTGTATCCCACAGAGAACTACAGGGATGGCAGCCGGAATTTTCAGGAGTCAAAACTGGTTATTTTTCTTGCCATCAATATTTTCTTTTAATCTTCCAGTGGAGCCAGTGCTCAGGTTTTTCATGACTTTCGACTCTACCAAAAAATGAAGCTTCTGTACTTGCACAATAATATACATCACTTGGAAGGCATAGATTTACTACAATCTCATATCAAATTGGGAGAGCCTAATTTTTGGGAGGAAAAGCTTTATTCCTTTTATGCAATGAGGAAGCTGAATCTCTACTTAAAATGCAAAAAAACCCAAAACAACAAACTACCTAATCCCAACTGTGTAAACTGCAACCTAGACTTGCCCAGTTCACAACATACCTTCTAGAAGTTGTTCTTTGTCCTTCACATACTCCCAGTTTGCTTTCAGTAACTCTTCCACATCATTCCTAGTTACTAATTCCTTCTCATCTTGTTCTTTCTCCTTTTCTTCTATTTGTTTTATCATGCTCCTGATCAGTGCCCGCTGTTCTTCCTTCAGAAGGTCATTCTGAGAAGGAACAACAGAAGAAAGAACATGTATTAAACATTCTCAAAATAATTTTCAAAGTGACAAACTTAAGTAACAAAGTAAAATCTGACCTAGTGCTAGATGAAATGCAAGAATCCCCAGCTAAACACCTATTCTTCAATTTGAAAAGGATGGAGCAGAAGGGAGAGTTTGCAAGTCTCAGAAATTTCCTCAGTAACTTCAAGACCATTGGAAGGAGATAAGAGACAAATGACTGCTCTACTTGGTGCAGCACAGCAGTAGTCCTCCACTGCCTGGAAAGAATGTTGCTGGTGGGTCAATTTAATAACAATATTTATAGATAGGAGCTGTTTGTTTCATGTCAACATTCTTCATGAGAATGTACCACCTTCAGGTAGAAATGTCAGACAATCAGGTCACTTGCATATAACCACAGCAAAGAGTCTTGTCAGAGTAACCCTTTGCCATGACCCTCTTAAGTGACACTCAGATTATTGGAAGTTACTGATGGTGTATGTGTGCTCCCAGAGGATACCATACAGGAGCAAATGGTAACAGGAACTATGCAGGACCGAGAGTCTCAAGCATTCCTCACTTCTAGGAGGATTAACTCTTAACAGAAACACTCAGC